TATATGCAAACTAAAAAATCGCATCATTCATAACATACATTGATACCGAATGCGCCTACCCCTACCCTACTCTATCAGTAGATTTTTAGTACTAAATTTCAAAAATGAGCCTGCGAAAATCAATATAATTTATCATTCACTTAAGTGCTGCTATATAAAAAAGTAAATTGGTAGCAGCTTCGGTCCTTGTTATTAATTTCGCATGAAAATAGTATTTAATGATATTATTTTAAAATTAATTTAGAAATAATATTTTACACGCTTAAAAAATTTTGAAGAAAATATAACTAATTAAAAAAAACATTCAAAACTGCTTTTTTTTTTCATTTCACAAAAAAAAAATAGCTTACCGAACATAATATATTAAATACTGTAAAATTCATATTAAAAAAGCAATAAAAATTAAGAATTTATTGATTTAAATATTTGTGTTTTAATTTATATATCATATTTTCTTTGCTGTGATATATATTATGTTTACGTGATGTCATATTATTAACCAAATAAGATACGCACAAGTATTTTATATATAGTAACAAATTATTATACTGCAACGCCAAAAGAGGGAGTATTTGTATGATGTTTTCGTGGTAAGATCACATATATTTAATTCGTGTGGCAGAATGTTATAAAAAATAAAGGAAAGTTTCCGTTCTTTGAAAGATATTCTTTGATATGCGTGTTCTTGGAGTTTCAGTTGCTATACACTATCCTACCAAGCATGCGTGCCGCATTTTATTTTAGGTCGTGTGCGAGTTAGGCTAAGTTGCGTTCTAAATAAGGGAAATTCTAAGTTGTGCCGATAATATAGTGATGTGTCGATACGTGTTGATAAATGGCTAAATGTGTGCAGTGCAAAAAATACCAAGAAAAGTCCCATTTGGTTTAGCATCCACTTAGCCTAACTCGCACACGTCCTTAGTTTTTATAGTACGCGTTTCAAAAAAAGTTGATAGTGCTCTTGTTTCCTTTCGTTTTTATATTTTTGTATATATACAATTAAGGTCGTGTGCGAGTTAGACTAAGTTGCGTTCTAAATGAGGGAAATTCTAAGTTGTGCCGATAATGTAGTGATGTGTCGATACGTGTTGATAAATGGCTAAATGTGTGCAGTGCAAAAAATCCCAAAAAATCTCCCATCTGGTTTAGCATCAACTTAGCCTAACTCGCACACGTCCTAAAATAATAATCATCATTGTTGTATTTTAAAATTTAAAAAAAATTTATATTTACAGCTTCCATTTATTAAAGGAATTAATGTTCGTAAATTCTTGTATAAATTCTTATTTATATAACACTTCTACATATATATAGGTCGTGTGCGAGTTAGGCTAAGTTGATGCTAAACCAAATGGGAGATTTTTTGGGATTTTTTGCATTTTGCCATTTATCAACACGTATCGACACATCAATACATTATCGACACAACTTAGAATTTCCCTCATTTAGAACGCAACTTAGCCTAACTCGCACACGACCATAGATATATTAAAATCACACATGACAAAAAAGATAAAAAAGATTTTTATAGTCAGTGATTTTTGGAAGTTTTTGTTGATTTTAACAATTTAAATTTAATAGGCGTATATAAATTTTAAATTAATTACAATAATTTCTTTTGATATGTGTACATATTATAAGTGTTCATACGTGAACATATAGATTAGTAACTATATTAAGCAGAGACATTGTTTTTATTTAGTTACAAAAAAGATATTATTTAATATACTATATGTTATTTATATAGTAATATTTCAGTATTATATAAAACAAATTAAAATACTTATTAAAAGATATATTTGCGAATGCTATAATGACACATTCATAATGCAAAAATAATATATACATAATGACGTAAGCAAATATCGTTATATAGGCCGTGTGCGAGTTCGAGTAAAAGGATGGTAAATTAAGGGAAATAGTAAATTATGTCGGCATGGAAACGAATCTTAATATTTACCAGAATTTCGAGTAGGGTAAATTAAATAAAAATTGGGTAAATTAGGTGTTACCATTTTGAAAATTTTATAAGATGTTTAATAAATAAATAAATAAATTTGAAAACTTTTAACCAAAAATAATTAAATATTTACATAAGTGCAGTGCAAAAAATCCTTAGGAAATTTCAATTTACTTGAACGCGCACACGACCATAGTGAACGATATAAATGTGCCCTCACTAATTAAAAAATTAAAATGATCCAATTTATACACATCCAACTTGAGCATTTAAATTAAATGCTTTTCGCGCAATTTTTACATGAATACCATGCATAACAGCCCCAATATTTTCTTGACATGTAACAATGGTTTTTTTAAAAAACAATATGCTTATCACAATGGAGTTGCCATTCTTATGATGTAATCTTTGCTTATCACATAAAAAATATTTTTTCCATTCTTGTCAAGTGTTCATTGATTTTCGTAAGCACTGCGAATGGTGTTGCTGTATTGTGAATGGAACATAAGACTAATAGTAGGTGGCTAATTTCTTGTATTGGAGTTTTAAGTATTGTGTTGTTTGATTGTGCGATTATAGTTAATTTTGCAAATGGGCAGCTTGTATCAGTGCATCTGATACGTATATTTAAGATTGCTATCTTTACTGTGAAAGAGAAAATTAAGGTAAGATTGATACTGTACGGATTCAGCAGTGCATGTTTTTTGAACATGGCCGCCATCTTATTTTCTGAGTTTTTCCGTAATACAGAATGCTACATTGTACTTAACAATTGATTTATAAATGTAATTACTTAATATAACACGCCATCCAATTAAAAATAATGTATACGCGTTCGAGAGAATGATAATGGAATTTAGTGATAGAAAATCATCGCGAAACCAATATTTCACTTCTCATATCAAATATAAACTATATATTCTCAAAATGTATTCGGTTAATATATGTATTTTAATTTAATGCAGACCTCGCGAGTATCGAACGTGTTTTCTAAGACGGCTACACCGTGCAGACCGCGTTTTCACGATTCACCAACGTAGACGCTACATACATTCGTGTATTTAGTTAGCTAAAAATTATCGTTCCATAAAATTTCTTTCTTTAAAATGCCCGGGGCAGGCACATTTAAACTTTTCATTGGCAATCTTGATGAGAAAACTCAAGCTACTGAGTTACGTCCTTTATTTGAGAAGTACGGTACCGTTGTGGAATGCGATGTCGTTAAAAACTATGGTTTTGTACATATGGAAACAGAGCAGCAGGGCCGCGACGCCATCCAAAACCTGAACGGTTTCGTGTTAAATGATAATCCTATAAAAGTAGAAGCGGCTAAAAGTCGACGTGCACCAAACACTCCAACTACTAAAATCTTCGTTGGAAATTTAACCGATAAAACTCGAGCGCCTGAGGTACGTGAACTATTTCAGAAGTACGGGACTGTTGTCGAATGCGATATAGTACGTAACTATGGTTTTGTGCATTTGGATTGCGTCGGTGATGTACAAGAGGCCATAAAAGAATTGAACGGGCGAATGATTGATGGTCAACCGCTTAAAGTCCAGGTATCAACAAGTCGCGTTCGTCCTAAACCCGGGATGGGCGATCCAGAACAATGCTATCGTTGTGGCCGATCAGGACATTGGTCAAAAGAATGTCCGCGACTTTTTAGCGGTGGCGATCGTGGTTTATCGGTTGGTGGTGGTTATCGAGATCGTATGTACGGGCGTGATCCCTACCCACCGCCTCCACCACCCCCATTTTTGCGTGACAGAATTATGGATGGTTTTAGGGTAAATTAACTTGGATATTTAAAACATTTTAGATATATTGCATTTACCAGCTCAACTGAATTTTATGTATATTAAAAATCGGTTAGCTTTCGGATTTTAAATACACAGCTCTATAATATTTTAAGTAGCGATTTTATCAAAAATATTTTATGCAATTTGTAAAATGCTTTTTATTTAAATTTATGAAAAATCTATATTTTTTTACCGTTCCATTGTTATGCATAATTTCTAGTTCAATTCGTCTTAACAATTTAGTAGATGCAATATATTTTTATTAAAATGTTTTATGAAGATATATAAGTTTAGTATATTTCAGGAATATGACTACTATGATCGCAGATTTGATGATACCCGTGACTTATTTGAGAGACGGTATCAAAGTTCTCGAATGCGGGATTTCCCACCCCCACCATTATCGCGGCGAGAGCCAATGCCCCTTCCTCCACCGTTAAGTGGTAGTCTACGAGGTAGTAGCTTATCACGTGGTTATGATTCTATGTTTAGTCGCCGATCGCCACCTCCAAGAAGCAGTAATGGTCTTAGTCGTTATGGGTATAATAGAACAAGAAGCTTTAATAAGTAGTTATTTAATCAATTTATTTACAGATATGAAGATTTCAGTAGAGATTCATTTGATGAAAGATTAATTTCATCAAGGGGAATGCGTGGTCCTTCACCTCCTGGGCGCCGTTATGCACCGTACTGAGATGAACTGTATGATAGTACAGTGCGTTTATGGTTTAATTTGCAACCAATGGAAGAAGAATTTCGGTACGCACGCTTGCATAAAACAATCGTACCACAGTAATACTTGCATTAGGCTATGTTATATCCAATAATCTCAACTTAATGCATGACATCTTATCATAAAATATACGTTTCACTTATAACCAAGATAATATACATTTATTTTACACAAAATTTTGTCCCCAAACACATTAATTTATTAAAAAAAAGAGTACTTGTATGTTTAATTGTATCTTTTTTCGGTTATTTAGCTTTATTACATATTCATGAAAAATATGTTTCTGTCTTTTTTTTTTTCTTATTTACTATCTTTCTTTCATTTCGCTTAGTATTGAAATTATGTTCACAATATATAATAACAATAAAATAAAGCTACATCAAATAATTGAAGTTTGTTTTTATTAAAAATTAAATAGTCGCAAGTATTCTTAATCAATGCCTAAACAGCACCGTTTTCTACAAATATAGATTGTACTGTCTTAATATTATGATTAAAAAAAATACGACTTATTAAAAATATATTCTTTATAATACATATATTAATAAAAATTTTAGTAAACAGTAAATGATTTAAAGTTTCTACATGTGATTTGCTACTAAGTAGTAAAAATGTAAAAATTCAACAAAGAAATAGCTTTAGTTATTGATATACAAGAAAATGTTCAGTTTTTGTAATTTTTTGAGCAAACATTTTTCCAGCCTCAGTTGGCGCACTAAATGCGATTTTGTCAATAGGAATTTGTTCACTAGGTAAAGTATTCAGTTGAACAGCTTGAATTAGCTTAGAAGCGATGCGCATTCGTCTATGTAATGGTGAGATCCATAGGCGAGAAATTCCACACCTAAATTGTTTAATATAATATTTAGGATATAAGCAGGAATAAAGAAATGTGACTTACTTTGATTCATATTTTTCTTCAGTACAACAATCTATGCCTTTAACGGACATGTATTTGTTGGCGAAAGAAAGCGGCTCAACCAAACATAACCCAACTATTTGGCTTTTACGCACAGCACAGTAGCACTAAAAGTTCCGTAGGTCACAATTTTTATATTAATTACTTAGTCTTAAAAAATACTTACAACAAATATTCCTGGAAATATATACGATGAAAACCCAAGTTCCTTATCCACTATCTTTAATATTTCTGTCAAACGTTCTTTTCGCTTAGTATGCGAGTTATTAGTTAAACGAATTATGCGACCATCGTTTCCCCACTCTGGATAGATTGCAACAATATCTTCATCAATCCATCCCTTATAACGTAGAATATTCAACGAAGAGTGGAATTCGCGATGGAGTTTTTCTTCTTCAGGTTCGTGTACATTATATAAAAGTCCACATTGCTTGCACTGCTGTGGACCAAATTGTTTTTGACCTGCGTCAATTTGATACTGGTCTCTACCTTGACCCATCCAATTACGATAAATTGCACGTGAAGATGTTTGCTTAAGAGGTTGATAACAGCCCGATAAAAACATTGGATAAGATTGTTTTTGCGTTTCCTCCTGAAGTTCTAAAGAGTCAGATTGTAATGCAGGCGGCGATGTCTCTGAATAAACATGGAGGATTCTATTTTCAGTACTGCATATGTTGTTTTCAATTGTAGGTGGCAGATT